CTATCAAGACCGAGCCCCAGCGACCGGTATGTAGAGCCTGCCAAGCCTAGCAGTACCAGTAGCTGGACAGGCCAAGGCTGGCGGGACCAGTTCGAAAACAAAAGCCAAAAAAAAAAAAAAAAAAATGCTGGGGACATGAATGCAGTTGGATGCGTAGAGTTCTCCCTACCGTCTTTCCCTGAACACAACGCACCCTTATTTTGGCTGTATCTGGCCGCAAATATAGCTTGTATACATTTATTTTTTGGGTGTGTTATGTTCGGGGGAAGACGGTAGTGCTAGTGTGAGCACATAGCAGTTTGGGTGTATCAGCCCCGTGGCATTTTTTGTCAGAATCCAAAAGTAAAATAAGGGCAGGTTGCTCCGCGTGACAGCGCTTAGGTGCGTTAACGCAGGTGCTAGCGCCCTCAACATCGGTATTCTCGAGGCGCTACCGTGCTACTGCGCCGCTTGCTGCTGCTCACATGGCATGTGTGGGGCACATCTTCTTCTTCGGTATTTTCAAGGACGTGCCTCATTCTTCCGCGCGGTATGCTTGGTACGGCGTTTCCCCTTGGGAAGACCAAGGGGCAGGCAGGAAGCAGCTGGCCTCCTATAGGATGGACGCAGTCGTACCACTCGTGGTTAATGGGTGGTGCTATTTTCGGCAAATTTTTCACCGAAACTGCCATATTTCCCTGAATTTTTGCTTTTTTATTGTTTTTTTTTTTGTCTGATATGTATGTGCTTAAGGGTATATCTGTATTCAGTTTAGAGTGGGACAAGGGGCAGTGGGAACGCTACTCGTAGGGAGGAAAGAGAGATCAGGTGAAGAGCAAACTTGAGGTGTATCCATTGGGTGCGTGGTGGGCATCTTATAGACAACAGTTAGCAATGTGATTGGCCTATAATTTCTAATATTAGTCTTATTCTCTTTTTTATAAAGGAAAGTGAGAATTCCTTGTCCAACAAATTCTCCCATATATCCTGAGTTTTGAACTGAATTATAAAATTTCATTAGATCATCTGAAAAAATCGGTCACATTGAGGGTCTCGTTAGACACTCCTAAAAGAATCCTAAAATTTTTAGGACGAGTCCTAAAGGTTTTTTAGGATTTCGTGCGGCGTCGTTACATGCAGTCCTAAAAATCATCTTTTAGGATTCGTCCTAAAAGGTCTCCCGCGGCCCGTTCTCATATTCGTATACGCAGCCGCGTCGCCGATGTCCGCCGGGTCCTGGCTGGTGTCCGTGGTACACACTGCGGAGGCCTTGGGCGGGCAAGGAGGGGTGGGTGAAAAGCGCGGCCACCCCGAACTTCAAATTTAAATTCAAATTTTCGCGGACTCAAGGTGGCAGGGGCGGAGGACGGCCGGGTGACGCGTCTGACGTACAAAAGACGGCGCTGGCGAAGCATTCGGGGCGGGAATCCATCTTCCGACTCCACGCGAGTTGTGAGCAGCGGGGGCAACTTCCGGCAAGGCGCATCTTCACCTCCGCCGTGTGTGTTGTCCTGTGGACTCCGACGCACGCCATCTTCTGTTGCAGCGTACGTCAGCGGGCGCATCTACGGGTCCGGCGTGCGTGGTCTCTCTTCACTTGGTTCAGCAGCGGGCGTGTCTTCGGCGTTTGTGGCAGGCGTCACACTCTTCGGGCAGAAAGATTCCCAGAGATGATCTTCGCGTCAGCGAGCACAGTCTGCGCGAGAGGAGATCGACGAGGTGGCGATGGCGGTTACTGCCGTCATCGTGAACACGATGGGCGGCATGTCGTCGTCCTCAAGCGACATGCTGACATAGCTCCGAAAAGGAAGAGCGCTGTTGCAGCGCATTGCCGAAGCGCCGGATTGTGTGGCCACGTGTGAGGCAGTCGTCCAGTTGTGCGTCGCGTTGTCATCAGGCATTTTCCCGCGGCGGACCCCGCGTTGGAGGATTAAACGACGGACTGGCGGGACATGGGAGGATCTCCGCCTCTGTGATGACGCGACACACGAGTATTACCGACAGAAGTTGCACATGTCGTTGGCCATGTTAAGGCAGATCGTTGCCGCGTGCGCCGCGTACGTGGAGAAGAAGGTGACGCACTACAGGATGCCTTTGCCAGTGGAGTAGGTGATCGCTTTCGCGTTGTACAGGTGGGCGTCAGGAGAGACGTACGAGAGCGGCACTTCGGCCTTCGGCATCGGCAGGGCAACTGGACTGCAGGCTGTCCGCTACGTCACTTCGGCGCTGTTGCGGGCGTACCCCGACGCTATCAAGTGGCCAGTTGGCTGTAGACGTGCGCAGATTCTGCGTGCATTCCGTAACAAGGGTTTCCCGAACTGCTTCGGCGCGATCGACTATACACACATCTACATTGACAAGCCCGTCGGCGCACCTTCCGACAACTACTACGACCGCAAACAGAAGTTCTCCGTGCAGGCGCAGGTGGTGGTGGATTTGGATCTGCGGATCCTCGACGTCCACATCGGATACCCGGGAAGCGTGCACGATGTCCGCGTCCTGTACAATTCCCAGCTGTGGAGGCGTGCAGATGCTGGCAAGCTGTTCGACGCACCTCCAGAGAATCTGTCGCACGG